AAGGCAGCCTGGCAGCCTGCAACAGACAACGGTGTTTCCTGGCAGCTGGTAGACTGCAACAGACAACGGTGTTTCCTGGCAGCTGGTAGACTGCATATACAGATGGGTCCCAATTAACTCAGATCTGCGGACCCTCTTATTTTCAAAAGTCAACCATGACCCCCATATTCTTTAACTCTTTCAGGCCCATAAGATCTCACCAGAGATGCCTAACAAGTAATTAACCACAAGTGATGAAACATGCATGTATTACTTTCACAGGACAGCATATAACTTTGAACATGAAACTTACTTTCCTGAATTTTAACATTACCGGTCAAATGTTTATCATAAATATCCCATCACATCATGCGTTGTTTGGGACACATGGGCAGTAGGTAATCACACATGATGTGTTCGTTGGAACCAGAAGAGTTAATAGTCATATTACACACATGCATACACACACACACACACATGGGGGAGGGAGGGAGGAGAGAGAACATTTATATTAGATAGTATCCTAAAGTTGAAGGTTTTTTTTGTTGTTGTGTGTAAATGATAACATGGACCACTTGAATTGGGCAACAGATAGGAAAGATTGGCACACCCACTTATCTGTTCTCCATAAAGGACACTTCTCCAGATGTGGGTACAAAATAAATAGATGTTTTCATTCCCAGTAGCAGATGAAATCTGGTCACATTCTTTCATAAATGTGCATTACAAAGCACAAACCCATTACCTTTGGAGAACATACTATTCAAGGCAATACAGAAATTTAAAATGTAATGTTTTTCTCTCTGGATTTTCCCCCTTAGTTTCCTTCATAAGCAATTCTTATAAAAGATAACCGATTAAGCTTTCCACATCAATTTAGCATAATGCTCATGCGGGGATAAGCTAATCTTTTCATACTAAATGACACTCATGGTCTGTAATACACCAACATCATGGGCTGCGCTGTTATCAATCACACAGGTCTCGCCCTCTTTCATTATTGTTTACTTTTGCAATCCTTTCGATATCAAGATGAAATCCAGTCCAGCCCCTTTGGCCTCTTGCAACAATGTTTGTCTTAGGGTTTCCCTGGAACGTCCAAATTTGCCCCAGTCATTTGTTTCCCGTTTCAGTGACTATGACAGAAGCTTGTTTTTATGAGGCTGTGTTGATCCAGAGCCATCATCATCATCATGTAGCAGGTCCTTTGCAGACTGCTGCTCTCATCATGATCTGTCTGAAAGAGGCAGTGTATTCCTTCATATCCAAGGTGTCCTAATTAGTACCCACCTTTGTGCTGGTCGGCCCCTGCCCCTCTTTCTTGATACTATGCCTTCACCTGTTATTGTTTCCAATCTGCTGTGGTGCTTGATTTGGCAAAAATATTTCGGTTTCCGAGATAGGATGCTGTTTACTAGGCAATTTTCCTTGATGTTCAGATCTTTTAGGATATCAGTATTTCTTTTTTTCTCGGTCCATTGTGTTCTGAGAATATTTCTACAGCATTTCAGCTCAAAAGTTCCTATTTTCTTCCTTAACTCTCTCAGTCCCAAGTGACTCACTGTGAGTTTGTCGGTTTCCACTTAAATGTTTCAATTTCTTTAACTCTTAATGCTCCAACCAGTTGCTACACCAACAAATTCTGTACTCAGGATTTATTTAACTCTTTCTGTCACATAATGTTTATGTTTTAATTACTTCAGGTAGAAATAATTATTAGAGTAACAATTTCTTATGACATAATGAATTAAAACTGGGCCTGAAAGAGCTAATGAGTGCCAGATAGTTGTTATTCATTAAAGACAGGTATTATGTGTCACGTGCTCTCAGCATTTCTTATATTTATTATAAATATATATAATAATATCCATTATCGACCCATAATATATCAGGTCTCTTGTTAGAACATCACTCCTATAATTATTTTTTTTCATGCTCAAGATGCCTCCAATATCCTGTTTCCATCTTCATGCTGGTCGATCCCTGCCTCTTCTTTCGGGATCCATACCTTTCATTATTATTATTTCGAAACCACTAGTGTTTAAATGGGGGCGGTTTTTATTTACAGATGAATTTTATAGGTTTCATCTCTTCGTTAAACAAACAAAAAAACAAAAAAAGAATAACTGTTCCTGCTTCTCTTTGGTTCATGTCAAAAGTGGGGCAGCCATCTTTAAAATGTTATTATGACGGTAATGTGTTCATCTGATCCTTGATGTAATGTGTTTAACACTCTTGACATCCTCATTAACAATACTGACAGGTTACAAGGCAATGTGGAAACCATGGTAGTGAAGCGGCTAGACAATCGCCTGCATATCTGAAGGTTGTGGGTTCAAATCCATATGGTGCTGGAATTTTTTCAAACATGACATTTGCTCCCAGGTCAACCTTCAATGGGTACCAGGTAAGTTCCTGGGAAGTAAAGACAGTCAGCATGATGTAGACCACATCACCCATCTAGGATCGATTAAGTAAAGAGCAAAGATCCCGTTTCATGCCTTATAGGCCCATCGGGTACATGGGAGGAGCACCCATATTTTTACAGACTAATTGGCACTAGGTGGGTAATGTGGTCAGCATTATGCCGGCCGGCTTTACTTCCCCAGTACAAACATCCTGGTACCCATATTAGGCTGGGTCGATCTGCGACGCCCCACACCACGATAAAATTCCACATACCCAGCAGTGGGTTTGGTCTATAAAAATATGAGTCTGGCCTCATATGCTTGATGTGCCACTGGCATAACAAGGGACCTTTTTTACTTTACAAGACAACATCATGGTTATTGTAATTTCTGTCACACTTTCAAGGTTTTAATTTGAAGCCTCCTAACATAATAATAACAACACAAGAATATGTAAACATGGAGCCAAAAATGGAAAACTTCACTGTGGCAAGAGATTATTGTAGAATATCATAAAACAATCATGCGTAATGGTAACAACCAACTAGTATATGAAAAATATAAGTAAAACAAAACATTGAAAAAAAACTGGCCAACAGCCATTTTGTGCCCACAAAAATAAAACCTTTAAATGGTCTTTAGGAAGTGATCTTTATGTTCGTGGTATTAAAGTAGCATTATCATAATTCTTAGTTCTCTTAACAAAAAAAGTTCTTATGGACAATTATCAAAAGTATTAGTTCTCTTACCTTATCATAATGCTAAGTAATTTTAGAAAATTATCAGAAGTATTAGTTCTATTATCACAATTCTTAATTTTTATAGAAAACTAAAATGAATCTAAGTTCTTCGAAAAATCATCATGAGTCTTAGTTCTCTTACACTATCATAATTTTGAGCTCTTTTAGAAAATTATCATGAATCTTAGTTCTTTTAAAAAATCAACATGTGTCTTAGCTCTCTTACACTATCATAATTCTTAGTTCCTTTAGAGAATTATCATAAATCTTATTTTTAAAAACTCATTATGAGTCTTAATTTTCTTTCACTATCATAATTCTTAGTTCATTTAGAAAATTATTTTTATCTTAGCTCTTCTTCAATATTATCATCAGTTTTAGTAACTCCTTTAATCGCCAAGCTCATTGCCTCACTTTCCCTACACTGCCAAAAGTGGTAAATATAAGCTGCAAAGATATTTCAAGATTCACTGACATACAAAAGAATAGGCTGGACATAACACTTCACTACTTTTTCATACGTTCAATGAAAAGGGTTCTGCCACTGACATGGACAGTCTTAAAAAACCTAAATGCAAAATGACAACAAGTGAGATGAGATGTAAAGAAATGTGAGAAAAACTAGAAGAGACAAAGTCATCAACCAAGAACTGGGCCTCAGAAATGGTAAATGATTTCACTGAAAATCAAAGAATAAAATTATCTGGACATCAGATCAGAATGGAACAATATCAGCCAGCAGCTAGAGCATACGAGAGGAGAACAGCAGTTACAAGTCAAGAAGGCAACCATGAAAGAAACGGATGCAGGCACTAAAAGAGACATGACAGAATTACAATTTATCTTTATGCCTCTATAAGGGCAGCCGGGTGTTTCAAAATTCAGGTCACCTAATAAAATTTTAAAAACTGTCACTGCTGCCCCTATTTACCATTTTTGCAGTGTAGGCAGGGAGGTCTTTGAGTCTAAGAATTTAGGGTCACAAGACTAGTGCAGTCATGAACAGTCTGTTTCTGATGCTTCTTAGTTGTTTTTGTGTTTTAATCCATTTCAAGACATCTAGCTGACACATTGTAATGGTCAGAAGAGTTCTCAGCATTTTACTGTAAAACCGCATCTCTATTACCACAAGAAATTGTTTCTGCTTGTTTGTATTACACAAAATAAATAACTTGAGTAAACAAGATCTTCTTTTTCTTCTCTTCCTCCGGTTACCTCACCGAAGTGTTGGGGGGTGATCTTCTGTATGCTCTGTCTAATTTGTTGTATATGAAGATCTTCACTTCTTTAACTCTTTCTATCCAAAGCAACCATGTGTGCTCAGCCTATGTCTAGGTATTTCAATGCAACACAAAGTGTGTTATTACTCATTTCATATTTGTTATTTCATATTTGGTGTGGGTATGAAAAAGAAATCTGGCCAAATATTTTTAATACAGCACAGCACATGCAGTATATTTGAAAGTCATACACTGATGCTTTTTTCTCTGTGATTATTGTGGCAAATTCTGTTCCTACTTTGAAATCACCTGGGACCGAAAGAGTTAAAAGACATTTCCTCTTTCATGGATCAACACCTAGTTCTCTGTTGATTATATTACCAGAACAATGCCCTCTATGGCCAGTGGTACCAGGCCATTCTCATCAGATGGGCACAACATATTATCTTTGCTCTTTAATGAATTACATAATAGGTTTTAGTCCTAGTCTCTTAATTTCCTCATATTTAATTTTACCATAAACGGAACCAGTAAAATTAAATATTGGTCATCGGAACAACACCACTGCTCAATATTTCGCCGGATATACACCGATGAACATCTGCATAATTTCTAAAACAAAAAACACAGTAAAATTTAATAACGAATATAATTTAACGAATTGAGCTGGTGTTTACACCTACATGAGCGTTAGTTGAATGAACTGCATGACTAGATAAAGGTAAGGTCACTTGATCAATCGGCGGCCAATCAGAAGTTCTGATTTCCTTGTATACAACCTTGTACTTGCTTGGTTCAACTTTGCGAAGTTCAGCTATGGCACGGTACAGACATTTCAGCCAGCCGCTGTCAATTATGATCCACTGCAAGGAGAAAAATTAGCCACCATAAATATGACATGATGAAACATAACCATAAATATAATAAGGTCGTTGGGCAACATTACATTTTTCTAAATGATAAAGTTAGATTATGCCATGGGAAGACAGGAGAATAACAGCCCATAATAATGACAGGGGAATCACAGAATATAATGATGGTAGGAGAATCACAACCCATAGTGATAGTAGGAGAATCACAGCCCGTAGTAATGATATGGTAATCATAACCCATAATGATGGTAGAGAAATAATAGCCCATAGTGATGACAGGGGTATCACAACCCGTAGGAATGATAGGGAAATCACAACACATAGTAATGAGAGGAGAATCACAACCCATACTGATGGTAGGAAAATTACAGCCCATGGTGATGGTGGGAGAATCACAGCCCGTGGTGATGGTAGGAGAATCACAACCAATAGTGATGATAGGGGAATCACAACCCATAGTGATGGTAGGGGAATCACAACCCATAGTGATGGTAGGGGAATCACAACCCATAGTGATGGTAGGGGAATCACAACCCATAGTGATAGTAGGGGAATCACAACCCATAGTGATGGTAGGGGAATCACAACCCATAGTGATGGTAGGGGAATCACAGCCCATAGAGATGGTAGGGGAATCACAACCTTTAGTGATGGTAGGGGAATCACAACCCATAATTATGATAGGGGAATCACAACACATAGTAATGACAGGAGAATCACAACCCATAGTGATGGTAGAGGAATCACAACAAAGAATGATGGCATGGGAATCACTGCCCATAGTGATGGAAGGAAAATCACAACCCATAGTTATGGTAGGGGAATCACAACAAAGAATTATGGCAGGGGAATCACTGCCCATAGTGATGGCAGAGGAATCACTGCCCATAGTGGTGGTAGGGAAATCACAACCCATAGTGATGGTAGAGGAATCATAAACAAGAATGATGGCAGGGGAAACCCAGCTCATAGTGATGGTAGAAGAATCACAACCCATAGTGATGGCAGGGAAATCACAGCCCATAGTGATGGCAGGGGAATCGCAGCCCATAGTGATGGCAGGAGAATCGCAGCCCATAGTGATGGCAGGAGAATCATAGGAGAATCACAGCCCATAGTGATGGTAGGGGAATCACAACCCATAGTGATGGCAGGTGAGACGCAGCCCATAGTAATGGCAGGAGAATCATAGGAGAATCACAGCCCATAGTGATGGTAGGGGAATCACAACCAAGAATAATGGTAGGGGAATCACCTACCATAGTGATGGTAGAGGAATCTCTCTCTCTCTCTCTCTCTCTCTCTCTCTCTCTCTCTCTCTCTCTCTCTCTCTCTCTCTCTCTCTCTCACGCAAAGGCTTGTTTCATAACTTGAGTTTAGCATGCAGATCCGTTTTAAGAATCTAGCTTATTTGTATGCAGACTGTTGGTTTCTCCTTTCTCAGGCAGATGCACTCTGTCTTTAAAGGAAACACCCATAATTAGTTATCTCTTAAGAAATGCTTATTAGAAGACAGTGGGTCTATTATTTTTCTCCCCAAAATGGAGGTCCAGAACCCACACCGGGCATGTCACAATTAAGACTAACTGATGATTTATAGCAGCATGGGTACAACAAACTGCCCCTATTGATTGGCAACATGCAATAGTTATACCATTGTGGAAGAACAAAGGAAGCAAACGGGAATGCGGTCAATACCAAGGCATCTCTCTTTTAAGCCATGTTGGCCAAATGTATGCCAAGATAATAGAAACAAGACTGAGACCAGTAATAGAACCACAGCTGACAGAAGAACAGATGGGATTTAGGAGAAATAGAAGCTGCACAGATGCAATCTTCACACTTAAACAGTTAATAGAAAAGAACATTGAATACAATAAGAACTTATTTGTGGCCTTCGTAGACCAGGAGAAGGCATTTGACAGAGTCGACAGACAATTATTATGGAAAGTAATGGCAAGATATGGAGTAAGCGAACACCTCATCGAAGTGTGCAAAAGTTTATACAGGGATTGTAGAAGTGTAGTAAATCAGGGAACATCTCATCCATTCACAGTGACATCTGGAGTAAGACAGGGGTGTGTCTTATCACCACTGCTGTTTATCACCTACATCGACAGTATATGCAAGAATGCCAAGCCCATGAATGAAAATGTTAGTAAGATCAACGAATTACTCTTTGCAGATGACCCGGCCTTGATAGCAGATACAGCCATGAAATTGCAACAACATCTAACATCCATGAATGAAGAATGTAAAACAAATAATATGAGAATCAACACTGAAAAGACAGAAGTAATGTCAATAGGAAAAAAGAAGACAGATCTAAACATAGCAATAGAGAACAAAGGCATTAAACAGGCATCTGAGTTTAAATATCTGGAAACTACATTTACTGAAGATGGGAAATTGGATAAAGAAATTAACATTAGATACAGTAAAGCAAACCAAGTATTGGGATAGCTAGCCCCCCTCTTACAGCATAAGACAATCCCAAACAGCACAAAGAGACATCTTATTCAAAGCATATTTATTCCAACTCTGTGCTACCAGTGCCAGACATGGTCACTCACAACAAACCATAAAAGAAAATTAGTAACCATGGAAATGAGATGTCTGAGTAGGGCTGTAGGAGTGACCATAAGAGATAAGATCAGGAATGAGATCATAAGAGAAAAAGTTGGCACAGAACCAATTCTAAATTACATACAAAGACAGCAAGTGAAATGGTTTGCCCACTTAGAGAGAATGCCTTGTGACACCATACCATACAAAGCATATATGGAAAGAGAAGGAGGTCGTAGAGCAAAAAGTAGACCAAGAACAAGATGGAAGGATAACATCAGAGAAGCTTTATGGTCGGGGCGGCCAGAAGAGCCAGAAACAGAACCTTATATCTCCCTCGACACCCACAGCGGTAAAAGAGGAAGTGAAGAAGAAGAAGAAGAAGATGATTTAAAAAAAAAAAAAAAAACTGTATAGAAATGACTACAGATGCCAGGTGACATGAAAGATCATCTGTGTCAGAACTGACTGAAAGTACTTCAGGCAGAAGGTTGTGAACAGTCATGCCTACCAATGCTACAAGGTAATGAAGATCATTTGTGACAGAATTGACTGAAAGTACATGAGACAGGAGATTGTGGATAGACATGACTACCGGTGCCACCTGGCACGGACTATACAAGAAGACAAAAACAAAGTCTGCTATCAGTCAGTCTTCCAGGGTACTCAAACTACACAACTGCAGAAAAGCATGATAAACAAAAATACAAGTTGTTCTATTCTTTCAGCAGAAAAGAAAATTAGTAACAATGAGATGTCCTGCGGAGTGGCCAGAAGAGATAAAATAAGGAATAAGGTCATAAGAGAACAAAGCTTGCACAGAACTAATTATAAATGCATACAACAACAGCTACAATCATGAGAGAAAAATAATCTGGTTTTTAAACTGAAAGAAGAAGTCTGGATCAAATAATTACCCTGAGACTTATTCTAGAAAAATACATTGAGAAACAACAACCTCTCTTATCCAATCTTGGCATATTTTTCTCAACTCTTGATTACCTGGACTTTGTTTACTCTCTCAGTAAGCTCCAAATGTGTGATTCTGTTATACCATTCACTTCCCTCTAGACTGTGCAGACACCAGATAATAGCCCCAAGTGCTATGATTCACAGAGTAGGTTCTGTGGCTCCAGTTTGGAGAACAAAGAATAGATCTACTTCCCCCTAACAAATATGTCCTAGGAGGCTAATAATTAGGGGTGTTTCCATAAAAGTTGGAGTGCATCTTGCTGAGAGGCACGGAACCAACAGTCTGCATACAAATAAGCCAGCTCGGCAAAATAGATGTGCTCACAAAACTTGAGTTATGGGTCACGATTAGAGTCCAGAACTTTCCACCGAAGTTTACAAATGGTGAATGCTAAGCTAAGCTAAGCTAAGAAGAAGAAGAAGAAGAAGAAGAAGAAGAAGAAGAAGAAGAAGAAGAAGAAGAAGAAGAAGAAGAAGAAGAAGAAGAAGAAGAAAAAAAAGAAGAAGAAGAAGAAGAAGAAGAAGAAGAAGAAGAAGAAGAGTGCTATGATGCAAATTCTATTTAATCAATCAGTCACAGATGCTTACCTCCAGAAAACAAGACATGACCATAAATGTAAGTGCCATTCCAAAAATGGCCAGGCGGAAGGCCACAGTTGTACTTTTATCAAGTGGCATCATCTATAGTAAGAAAAAAAAAACATTTGATGCTCTTTCATCTTAATCTTTTTCTTTTTTCTGCATTTTGTCTCCCGTTGAAGCAGAGGCCCTTAAACAATTCACTCCGTCATCCTTTCCTTTGGCATTACTTGCCATGCCCTTCCCATATTTTAATGTCACTCACTAGCTCCCTTTTCCCTGCATTCTTTAGCCTATCTATATTCCTATATCCCTGAAGGTTTCAACCACTTCCATATCATGGACAGAATCCAGTCCAGCGTCTCTGGCTTCATTCATCAAGATTTGCCTTAGGACCCCAGTTCCTAAATCCCTTTTTTCACATGTCAGTGACTGTTTGGTGATTTTCTGCTAATTTTCTCCCAGAATGTGTTCGATACCATCTTTTCTCTGTCTTATAAGTGTTGATACAAGTGTTTGCCCAAACAATTTTCTTTTGTTTTCATCCCATTGTATGTTCATCATTTTCTCTGTACCTGTACTATAAAGACATTTCATGGGGAACTAAAATATTTTTAAACTACAGGTTTAGTTAGTTCAGTCAATCAGTAGCATGTCCTTTGCAAAACCTCGCCCCCATAACAACCCTCCGGAAAACTCAAAAGAAGGATGTCCCGTGTCCAATACACTCATCCGGAGATCATCCACCACATCCTGCACCCATCTTATCTTTTGCCTTCTTCTTCCTCTCTTCCCAGGCATCTACCCATCTATTATTGTTCTCTCTAAACTTTCGTGACATTTCAAGTGACCAAAATATTTCAATTTTCTGTGTTTTATTGTCTTTAATAGCCAACCTTCTTCAGTATTCAGTTCTTGAAGTATGGATGCATTTGTTATTTTCTTTACCTATGATATTCTTAGATCCAGTCTATAACATTTGTATTCAAAAGCATTTATGCGCTGTTTAGCTTGTTTAGTTAGTGTCCAGGTCTCACAAGTGTATGTTGCAATGGGAAAGATGCATGCTTTTAGAAATCTAATTTTTGTAGTTATCTGTCCCACTCCATAATTTATTCAGTTGTTTTAGTCTTTGAAGAGCAATTGATAGTCGTCGTTTAATTTCTTTCATTGTGTCACCACTATTGGCAATCAATGACCCAAGATATTCACAATTTTCCACTACCTCCAATCTTTCCTCATCAACATATATTTCTTTCTCCATATTAGTTTTATCTGTATGCATTATCTTTTAGTTAGTTATTTGACTGATTATCCTCATTGCACATGAAATCGAGCTCAGTAAGTCCTGCAGCATGTAGCAGCTGAAGATACCAGTTCTGTGTTGGTTTCTTATTCTTCTTTGGCTTCCAGCATAGTGCTCTTCTCTGGCCACATCCCTTTCAAAATGCTGTTCTTGCAGTCTGGTCATGGTTGCATATGCACAGTCACCACTTGGTTTTTACAAATTACTTCCTTCTTGTAGAATATGTTGTACATCAGCCTGGTCTATGTATGGCTGGTCCGCTCTTTACAGTAACCTTACCTGCAAGCCTATCAGCTTGTTCATTTCCTGCATGCTTTTGTGCCCTGGCACGAAAGTAAAACTAATCTTCATCAGCCTCTACTGCCTCAGTGACAAAAGCACTATCTACAGACCTAGTACATCTCTATCTTCCTGAGCAAACTCTTTGAGCCTCTAAGAAAGCATGTGCTGGTGAAAGTTGGTGTTTCCAAACATTTAAAATAAAGGTGTAAACATAAAAGCATTAACTTTATTGGTCTTGGATTTATCTCACATGGCATGGTATCTGCAAATCTGTATAGACCAATCGGCACTCAGTGAATGATAAGGTCAGTCAATATCATGCTGGCTACCTCTACTTCCCAGAACACTTTCTAATGTACAGTGGTACCTCAGTATATGTTCTAAATTCATTTCAGATCCTTAAACTTATACCAAACAGGACATATACCAAACACATTTCCCCAAATGAAATAAAATCCTATTGTTATTTGCATATTATACATTAATGAGGTTGTATAAAACAATTTAAACAAAAAAATACAAAAGCTCTTCTCAATAACTTTCTTAGAACTCATGGTTAATGAATTTACTAAAAATATTTATGTGAAGAAACAAAAAGATCACAGGAAAATGTGGTTATAGCATGAGTTGTTCACTGAATGGTAGTAAGACACAATAATGTTCATGGGCAGTCATAGTTATGTCTCGAGAGAGGTGAACAAAGGTAGTGCGTAATCTCGCAATTCATTTTGAGTTCTAGCACGTGAGTCACATTTCAAACAAAGGTATACCAAGCAAAATTATGGGTGTCTAAACAGGATATATACCAAGTTGGACTAACTAGAAAGATGACTTGTATCAAGATACCAGTTTATATAAGGGGAAAGAAAGTCCTAAGAATTAAAAAGAATTTTGTGTCTTATCTCAGCAATATATGGTCATGCACTTCATCCACTATGGATCATAAACTGGAATGTTGCTTCGCTACTCCTCCAGGAGAAAACATTCTTGCAAGACATTTACTCGTGGCCACATGTTGCTTCGCAGCTCCTCCAGAAGAAAACAGTCTTGCAAGACATGTTCCCAGGCTATATGTTGCTTTGTTGCTTCTCCAAGAGAAAACTGTATGGCAAGACACGTTTCCTGGGATACGTATTGCTTCGCAGCTCCTTCAGGAGAAAATAGTCTGGCAAGACATGTTCCCTGGGCTACATGTTGCTTCGCAGCTCCTTCAAGAGAAAACAGTCTGGCAAGACACGTTCCCTGGGCTACATGTTGCACGTTCCCTGGGCTACATGTTGCTTCGCAGCTCCTTCAAGAGAAAACAGTCTGGCAATACTTGTTCCCTGGGCTACATGTTGCTTCGCAGCTCCTTCAAGAGAAAACAGTCTGGCAATACACGTTCCCTGGGCTACATGTTGCTTCACAGCTCCTTCAAGAGAAAACAGTCTGGCAATACATGTTCCCTGGGCTACATGTTGCTTCGCAGCTCCTTCAAGAGAAAACAGTCTGGCAAGACACGTTCCCTGGGCTACATGTTGCTTCGCAGCTCCTTCAAGAGAAAACAGTCTGGCAAGACACGTTCCCTGGGCTATATGTTGCTTCGCAGCTCCTTCAAGAGAAAACAGTCTGGCAAGACACGTTCCCTGGGCTACATGTTGCTTTGCAGCTCCTTCAAGAGAAAAAAGTCTTGCAAGATATTTGCATCTTTTCCAGGAAAGGATGGTCCTGGGGGTCTGTTAAGCAAGAAGACACTGGCAGAGAATACTATATCTATATATACTATTCAGACTATGCATCTGATTTCTAATTAAAACAGCTAAAGGTAACAAATAAGTCACAATGCAGTACTCACGCTGAAGAAATTCAAGACTGGCCCCCAAGGAAACAACAACAGCAATGTTGACAGCACAAACAGCAACACCAAAATTGACAGAAACATGACTGAAAATACAAATATAAAGTATTTCAAAAATAAGATTCCTCCTATATCAAGATAAGGTTGTACATGTTATGTCATGATATGTTTTGATTATACATTTTAGTTATGTTATGATTACACACATCATGTCTTTATGATTATTTATGTTTTGTTTGAACTATTTTTTTGGCTAACACTGTGTTATTAATGCCAAAATTGGACACTTACATCCTCCAATGAATGTAAAATTGTGACAACAGAGATGAAATGCCTTAGAAGAGCTGCAGGAGTTTCAAGAAAGACAAAATACAAAATCACGAAATCAGATGAATGCTAGGAATAAAGCCAGTCTTACAAGTCATCAAAGAACAACAAATGAAGTGGTTTGGACATCTAACATGAATGCCCTGGTACTATCTGCCACACTATAACGTTACAACAGGTATAGAGCGAGTGGAAGGCCTTGGAAAAGATGGAGTGATGGCATTAAGAACAGCCTTACAGAAATGAACATCAGTATTAATAGTGCTCTTGACAGAGCTTATTAACGATCATTACATCTACTTCCGACACTTTGCTGAGGTACAAGGTGGAAGAAGAAGAAGATGTTATGTTTTGATTATAGATATTATGTTATGATTATATATTTTATGTTAAATCATAATTATTCAAGTTATGTTATGTTAAGATATGATTATAAATGTTATGTTATGTTATTTGCGATTCATTTTCTTCTTCTCTTTCTCCAGTTACCTCATAGAGGTGTTGAGGGAAGAGGCAAGGATCTTCTGTTCCATTATATTTCTTCAGCGTAGTTCTCTGTGGCAGCTGGTACCAGGGCATTCTGGTCAGATGGCCAAACCATTTTCAGCTTCAGTCAAGTTGTGTCGCCCCATATCTGCTGCATTCCTGTGCCAGTTGCAATGAAACAAAACAGGAAGTACTCACCATTAGTATAGATTGGCTTGCGGAATGGTGGCCCCTTTGAAAATGTGAAGGCCACGGCAAGGTACATGAAGGAAGTGAGGAGGAATATAATTGTGCTGTCCCAGGTTTGAACCTCTGGCTTCAGTGGATCATGATGACGTACTGTAGCATTTGTAGCATTGTGGGCAGAATTGGTGTAGAAGCTGGTGTAAGTAGACAAAGATGATTTCTTTTTCATATGTAAATATCAACTTGTCATTCTTTATCATGTTTGATATATACTAACTAACGGCTCTTTCTCTCTCTAGAAGGTGCCGGTACTGACTATAAAATGTCTACAAAAAGGTGTAGGCACTCACCAAAAAATATATGTTATTAAAGCACTGACAATAATGATGCCTTAAAAAAGCACCACCAGAAAAAAAAGCCCTGCTAATGCTAGTTAAACAGTGACAATCAGCAATTTAGTTATGTTTTAATATAGTTATTATTTTTAGTTAACAGTTATATGATCACAGACTTCTGTGGCAAGGGGTTGTCAGCATAGTTCATAATCTCAACATACCAGGGTTCAAAGTCAGCCGTAAAGCAATTTGGTGGCAGGCAGTTTTGCACTGAATTGGTATGAGTGCTGTGCAGTTCTCATTCTTCTCAGTATTCACTAGCTGTAGACTCCACTGGAAAGAC